ATATATATATATGCTGGGTTGTCTTAAGCACACTTTCTAGCTAAATAGCTTCAAAGCTACGTATTGCAGGTAATACGAGTCCTGTCGCGTTGTTTTCTGTTGGAAACTGAGATTTAACAGTTGCAGATGCGCTAAAACCGTTGGGCTATCTTTACTCAGGTTTGAACCGCCTTGAAGATTTTCTGTGAAATTTCGCTGTTTTTTACAATTTTATTGCGATAAAGCCACAAATGTTGCCTAGATTCATAAATAAAAATTGTACGGTTTATCATGAAGGTGCATTAGCGAAAACAAGACAAGAAAAAAAAAAAAAAAAATACTATCTAAAAGTGCTTCTGTAACTTTCGTACTGTCAATTTCGTAAATGTCGTAGTGGTCGGAATCACGGAAAAGTTGACGAAATTATTGTGAAAGTTGAGCAAAACCGCCACGTACGTAGCCATGAACTAAACATTCACCGGATAGTTTTATACCATTTGAAGGAAACTGGCTGTAAGAAAAAGCTCGATGCCACACGAATTAAGGAAAAATAATTTACTCTATCATACATCCGTTATCAAAATTTTACAGAAACGCAACGAAATTGAGCTATCTATTATAAAACGATAAAACGAAATATTAAAAAAAAAAATGTACTCCACAATCTATGGCAAGATTACAGTAAGCCATTGAAAAAATTGACCTGAACTAGTGAACAGGAAGGTGTCATCCTTTACGATATCAATGTCAGATCATGTACAGCTTTGGCTAAACGGCAAAAATGAAGAAAAGTTAAATGGGACATTGTAATACATCTGTCGTATAGCTTAGGTCTTGCACCATTGGTCTGTCATCTGCTTGGGGCTCTACAGAGCTCCCCAAATTGGTGCTAATTTGGTTTTAATGGTAGGATGCAAAAATCGCTTGTCATCATTTTGCCAAAAAGCACAGACATTTTACACTGATAGAATTACAATATTACCAGAAGGGCATCGGTTAGAACGGCACATATTTAAGCTTCGTAATACTATTTTACAATCTAAAAAAAATTTGTTCCATTTGACTTAAAAACAGTCAATACTTTTTTCTATATATCTATATAGGATCCTTATATGCATGTTACGAAGAGATTCTGAAAAGTCTCGAGCCTAGTTAAGGCCAAGGGCAAATCACTTTTTTATAGTTTGTCTTGTTTTATAACTTTGCTTTCATGTAACTTTTTTTTTTTGACAGTAAAAAAGCTAGACATTGTTTCATAGTAATTGACATTTTAATCTGCAACTTACGCGTGCACAAATGCACTGGCTTCCTCATTCAATGGAAACCATGGGGAATCAGATCTGCTAAATTCTGTAAGTAGACGACCAATTCGAACTCGAATTTCTAAAATTTTTCCATAGCAGCCGTTGATGTATAAGGCGGTACGATGTCATGGTAAGCGAGAAAATGCAGCACAAAACGTGCAGTTAGCTTTTTCATGGCCAACTTATTAGTCGGTATATGACAAATACGTTTTGTTAGCAAATACACTCACAGCCTCCCCTATCTGTCTAACTTTATTTCGACCTTAAACGACAATTGAGCGTATGATATAGCTAAAATATTCATTATCACTAAAACATTTTCTACGAGTAACATCATTTTCATATTTAGATTAGAAACAATTCATACAAGCTACATACACATTGATCAAAAGATGTAGCTTCGGATCATTCATTATTTGAGTACGGTAACAAAAAAACAACCGTTGTTTTACCAAAGCATTGTAATTTAATATTATATATATGATTGTTAATAAGTACTACATGTGACCGGCTGACTTTTCCTTACGTGATCAATTGTTGTTTTTCCACTTTTGCTAAGATATTAAAATGGAATCGAGAAGTCATTTACATCCAACTCGAAAGTACCAGAATCACAGAAACGTTGAAAGGCCCTTTCATCAGTTAGCCACGCTCCAATGTAGAACTTAACGTTCTGTTGGCAAGTACCGCAAGTTCCCGACTGACCAGTATATTGAAGAACAATCCCTTGTCCGAAAATTGCATGCTTTAGCTTCTCTCAATCCTGTAGATCGGTCGCATTTAATGTCAACTATCAGGCTAAGTCTGTCCTTCTTAGAAGACAACAGTTAGAATACAGGGCACGAACATCAAA